AGCAGCCTCAACCTACTACCCTCCCCATCCCCCGAAAAATTCTCCCTCATCGATCCCCCCACCTTCTCATACTCCTCCCAAAACACGTCTCTCCTCCTCAACTCGGGCCAAAGCCACTGAATCATATCCTCAAACGTCCCCGGACTCACTGCGTAGGCAAGATTAAACCCATCTACACCCGCGACATCAATCCAATTCTGTAGGATATCGGCGACGGTTTGGGGGGAGCCGATGGCGCGGGGGTGGGCGCCGCCCAGTGCGAGTTCTTGGAGGACGCGCCGACGGGTCCATTTTATGCCGTTGGTTCCGGGGATGGTGGTGGACCAGGTGTTTACCATGGACTAGGGGTTGGGGGGTTAGTGTGGTGGGTTTTTGGAGATGGGTTGGGGTGGTGAGATATATTGGGGATGATGAATTCTTTCGAGGAAGATTTTCTCTCAAGGCTCATGAATAACTTGAATAGAATCAAACGATTACGAAAAGAACGAGTGACTCACCTGGATCGAACCATGGCCGGTAAACTTAAAATCATCATCCTCGCCATATTTCGAGAGATCATGGTTCGTCCAGCCCCCAAAGAGCGCAGCAATCCCCTCTAAATCCGCATACTCAAGATAACTCTCATACTTCGCCTGAGCCTTCTCATCCGTCTCATCTATAATCACCAGAATCCCCGCGATGATCTTGATATCCGTCGCTTTTCTCCCTTGGGAGACCGCTTGTGCACTACATTCCAATCAGCCAAGTTCGCTTAATATGGATACCTCGTTTATTTACCGAATATCATCAGCCTCCTTTCGGACTTTAACCGGATCAATCCCAGGAAGGAACATAGCCTCCGAATGCTTCGTCGCAAACTTCTTCCCCGCTCTACACTCATCAGCACCTATCCATCATCTCACTTACAAAGAAACTCACGCCGAAGCCCCCGCCTGCAACAAAAACGGCGTCCTCTGCACCGAAGCATGAAGCTGATGCAACGCCTCACACCTAAAATACCTCACCTGATGCACCACCCTCCTCACACCATCCACCTCACTATAAACCCCCCTCTCCTTATCCATCGCCCTCGCGTCATCCTTCCAACTCCCCTCCCACAGCTTATAACCTACTTCCAAGAACTCCTCCGCGCGCTCGTAGCGCTCATCGTGTGGGATCTGGTCGGTGAGTCCAAAAGCTTTGGCGGCGCTGTCGAGGTAGGATGTCACGATGTTCCAGCCGACGCGGCCGTTGGTGAGGTGGTCGAGGGAGGAGAAGCGTCGCGCCAGGGCGTAGGGGTGTTCGTAGGTTGTTGAGGAGGTTATGGCGAAGGAGAGGGAGGTGGTTACGGATGCCATGGCGGAGATTAGGAGGCTTTTTGGGGTTTGTTAGTTGGATATCAAGTATTCCCCCCTTTCCCTCATCCCCTCCCCTCCCATTCCCTCTCCATCTTCCTCACCACTCCACCACTCATCCCCCAACCCCAAAAAACATCAAAGAAAAAAGAAACTTACAAAGGATCCCCAATCGGAAACTGACTCCCACTCCCCACAGCCGGCTCCACATTCCCGGGTCCCTTATAAACATCATAAATCCCCAGGACATCCGCCAGGAACAAGCCATGGAACTTGCCTCGCTCGAGCGTCTTAGCGAGGTTCGTCCAGTAGGTTAGGTTCGTGTAGTCGCCTGCTTGATCGGAGGGGTGGCGCCATTATCCTTTGAGTGGGGTGGGGTTAGTTGGTTTTGATGGTTGATTGAGGAGAGGAGGGGAAGAGGGGGAAAGGGGAGAGGAAGAGAAGTACCAGGTGATAAATGACCAGGCGCAAACATAGCGAATGCATTCATAATCCATTTCTTCGGTTTAGGTTGCTCTTCCGGTTTCGAGTTCTCTTCTGTCGTCATATTTGCGGTTCTCAATATCAATCAACTGTTCAATCAATCAATCAATCAATCAATCAATCAATCAATCAATCAATCAATCAATCAATCAATCAATCAATCAATCAATCAAGAATACCAATAACACAACAACCCATCAAACATTCAAAATCCAATTTCAATTTCAAAACTTCTCAAAATCAAAAAGAAGAACGAGAAAAAGAAGCAATCCAAGGCATAACCAAATTCTCCACAAGACCAAAGACCTCATATATAACATGCACGAGTACCAGTACCCGAATAGTCCCCAATAAACCCCAAACCATCCATCCATCAACCCATCAAGTCTGACAACATCCCTCCCCCATCCCCCTTATCACCTGCACAGTCGATCCCCAAAAAGGTAATCTAAACCCTCGCAGACTTGTTTCCTCTCGAAAACCCTCCAATCATGATCTCAACTCCCCACTTACGTACACAGAAGAGGCGATGTCGTGTGGCCCTGATAGGGATAGGGAGATCGGATGGGTCATTTTACCCCACTATGTCGTGCTTCCTGTACTTTAATTTCGCAAAAAGACCACGCAAAACCCAATCCCAATCCCTCAAACCACCAACTAACTTCCCAGAACAGTAGTGATAGTAGAGACGTGAGTTAGAGATAAACCATCGAAGGAAACTCTGATAAATTCAATTGGCCAAGGATAAAGAGCCTCACAACGTCATCATTCATTTGCAGAAGAACAAGTCATGTCTGGTCACAACAACTTTTTATATTCACCAACAACCTAATCTACCACTCCATCAATCCTACTCATCCCCCTTTCCTTGGAATGCAGCCTGAAAACAAAACTTCCAAGAATATCATCTCCCAACCCAGTTCAGATCAACTACTCCTCTCTGAACCCCCATCTCTTCATAACCGTGTTGTCCCCAATTTTTGAAACAGAAAATAAAAAACACCCCACACCCCCCAATCTGCCCTTTCCCATCTCCCCTAAAGTTTAAGATTCCCGGGTATAGCAAAAAAGGCATTATATAAACAAAAAAGGACAATAGAATGCCCCGGCCACACCAGTTAAACATAAACAAAAAAGATTTCCCAACTCCGTCTTGATGAAAACGTGAGACATTGTAAGGACAAACTCCCTCCAAAGGCGAGGGAGATCAAAGACATGCATATGGTACAGGGATTTATTACTCCATTTCTCCTTTGGACTGAGTGGATGAAAGAAATTAATACAAGAAAGAATCGGCTGGTCCGGTTAGTATATGCGCCGCGCTGAGATAAATACTGGTTGGGGTGAATATGAGGTTGCCAGAGGCTCGAATAGATTCGGTGAATTGCGAAATGTTTAGCGCATGAGCCGTGATGCTGCGAGTAGGTAAGATGGGTAAGGACCAATCTTTTGTGGTTGGTAACCAGGCACTACAAGGCCATCGTAAGAGGTCAGGGAATTGACGGCGAGATCAGGGCCCGTTAGGCTTCTGTCTCTTCGTTATTCTTGGACTCGGTCTAACGGCGGTCTTTGATTGAGTCCCATTAGCTTGAGCCTCATCTTCTGTCTTTACGGTGCTAGGCCTACGGCGTTTATTGCTCGTATTGGGACTTGTGTTTGCGCTGGGGCCACTGGAACTCGTACCATGTTGACTTTGTTGTAGTTGCATGCCAGGAGCCTGAGCTGGACTACCCCCAATATGAGGTGAGCCATCGGGAAGCTGAAGATGGGCAGCTGCTGGTGAAGCCCCCATTGGAAAGTTGGACATTCCAGGGGTTCGTGGACCAGACGGATTCTGTTGTTGACCAGGGTTGTTGGGCACATTATTAGCCACTTGGTGAACGTACTGGTCAAGTGCAGCGTATGGGGCGAGAGAGGAATGTTGGTGAGCATATCCGAATAAGGGATTCATTTGTCCCATGACTTCCGCGAGCTATGATGTATTAGAAGAAATGTCTCAAAGTTCAGGGTGGACCTACCTCAAGGAATCGGAATACGTTGGGAGTGATTCCCATGCTTTTCTTGACTTTGGAGTCGGGAATATCAATCTCGGGTGGGGCTTGAGGAGGCGACTTCATAGGCTTGGGCTTCTTCTTGTTCAACTCAGGCGATTGTTTCCCTTCTTGCGGAGCATTGACTTTGTGCCATTCTTTACCCCACTCATGCAGGGGTCTGGCTGCCTCGATAATTCGAGATCGAGGTAAATACTCCTCGTGGCTACTTGTTATAAATTCGAGAAGTTCAATAAGGCGTTCTGAATCAAAATGGGCACGTAAAGAACCACTCGCAACCAACTAGCCACAATATCAGTATAACTTTGGTTTCACAGGAAAAGAACTTACTTGTGACGAATTGTCAAACCAATAGACAAGACTCGACTTTGGACAATCGACAAGAAATCCACCATTGGGCAAATCCCTTTCTGTGCCCTCCTCCATGATAAGTTGCATTGTTTGAATGCCACTCTCGAAGTGTGTGTGGAAGTATCTTGCAAGAGCAGGAAACGTAATTTCAAACTGTTTGTTTGTATTTAAATCTGCATCCCAAAGTGTGTGTCGTAAAACTCCTCGGGGAGAGAAGAATTTAACAACAAATTCTGACCAATACTTTAAATCGTCCCGTTGTTTCATTCCTTGTGCAGCCAGCTTTTCAGCACCAGCGCCAATATACGTTTGTAGAGACTTTGATACTGTCCCGAAATTGCTGAGTCTGTTGGCAAATGACATCAATTTCATCACGCTTTGACCCCGAAACTTCTCCCCGTTGTGTTGTGCTTGAGCCTGTTGTTGTCTCGCCGCCATCATGGCTGCTTGCTGTTGCTGTTGGAGCACAGGGTTTGGTGGTTGGACCTGCTGGACCTGGGGAGGTTGGCCTTGTGGGTTGGGCTGAGATTGAGGTTGAGGCTGAGGCTGGGATTGCGCGGGCAGGTTTTGTTGAGAAGCAGCAGCAGACTGTTGTTGTTGCTGTTGTTGCTGCTGAGCTTGTTGTTGAGCTTGCGCCTGGGCTTGCTGCTGGGCCTGCTGGTGTTGTGCCATTTGAGCTTGCTGTAGATTATGCATTTGCTGCATCTGGTTTGGTTGACCCGGATTGCCTCCCCCCTGGGCTTGAGTAGCTTGATGTTGCAGAGCGATCTGTTGAGCAATAAGGTGCTGTTGGTGCTAGAAGCTGTGAGCATGGAAGTGCAGGATTGGATGACTTTCAAAGAGAGCGGAAATTCTTTGGGCGAAATACATACCTGATGTTGTTGAGCAGCAACTTCTTGCTGTTGCTGCAATGTATGCTGAGCTTGAGCCTGGGCCTGTTGCAGATGTTGTGGTAAATTTACCGGCCGCGCCATACCCGGATTTGCTCTCTGCATCGCCTGGTATTGCGCTTGACTGATTTGCATCCCATTTTGCGTCGGCATACCACCACTATAATGCTGCTACATCATCATCTGTCGAGCCTGTTGCTGGCGGAGAATGTGCTGTTGCTGTTGCTGCATATATTGGGGGTTCTGCTGTTGGACTGAATGAGGGGTTGTGTTAGCACTCGGAGTTTCATATACGTATAGGTAGGCAACGACCATCGAGAGAAGGGATGAGGAGGAAGGTTCGACTTACAAGCCATCGCCTGCTGCTGCTGAATTAGAGCTTGCTGTGCCTGTGCAGCATTGGGGTTAAGATGTTGTAGTGCATGTGCACTTGGGCCCCCGGCTCCAGGTGGCATACCACCCATCATGCCTCCTGCCTGGCTTACTTGAGGTCCTCCAGGGCCTGAGACTGCCATATGCATCTGTTGCGGCATGCCTGGCTGACCCGGATTATGAGGCCCCGCGATAGGATGACCGGGAGGGACACCTGGATGCTGTTGAATGCCCCCGTGTGGTGAGTAGGCCTGGGCGAGACTCGTCATCATGGTGTTGAAGGTCGACTCTCCACGAAGTGGAAACCGACGATCGCCAATCCTACACCACGCATGCGCCTACGAGCGGAGTTCTCCTCCTACCGCCTTCACAGCTCTGCTACCTACCTAGGTAGTGTTTGCGTGCTGGTGAGCTTCTTCGTCCGATGCGCTGTGCTGCTCGGGATGTCAGAACGAGCAAGCAGTTCAATCACACCGTCGCTTTCCTACAATACTATGTATGAGGCCTTTCGCGAAGATTCCTCGTTGTGAGCAAGGACGGCTTAATCACGCGCGTGGAATCGTCGTTGTCTTATTTTGAGCGCTTCTTTTCCGTCTCGCAAGTTGCAGCAAAGCGATTTGTGTAATGCCTCGTGCGGTCGGTATTAGGCGCGAGTGTGACCAGAAGAGGGAGTGAAATGGCGCAAAGTGATGCCAGGGGTGTCGCAAAGGTTGAAAGTGTACCGACGCGATGAAATAGCGAAAAGTACTTGGCCACCACGTCAACAGAATCCCCCTATGTGTTTGGCGGAGCGCATGCAACCGTCGTTCGTTGTTTTGTTGGTCCGTCTATCTCTAGGGGTGTGGTGTCGTGTCCGCAGAATGGGGATTGAATGCGAGCGTTGGCTGTTGGCTGCGCGTCGGTATTGGTGTCGGTGGTATCGGGTCGAGGAGCCCGTAGTCACGATAGGATGGAGGATGGATGCAAGAGGGAAGTAGATTGGATTGATTAATAGGATATGAACGAGGGACAGGTCACTTCTGGAGCCGAGCCAGGAGGGGGGGAGGAGGGAGAGAGAGAGATGTGGAAGCGAATACGCGGGTTTGTCGCAGTAGTGAGGGTGAAAGTGAAAGTGAGGTAAGGTGGTAGGTAGGTGAGGTGAGGCCGCTGGTGAATGTTTGGCGATGGAGAGAGCCGGGTTGGGGTTGGGGAACACCGTGCGAACTGCACTGCACTGGAGCAATTCGGCCGAGGTGAAGGAGATGCAGATGAGTGAGCAACCAAGGGCAAGTGGTGAAGCTGTTGAAGCTGGTGATGCCAGCAGTGATCACTACCGTCCAAGACGAGATGCGATGCGGAATAAAGATAAAGTAAGGGTAGAAGGTCAGATACAGATCCTTTGCACTCAGTTGGGGATGCCCATGAGAAAATTGGGGAGGGGGAGCTGGCTGAAGGGTCTCGCCAGCGGCCATCTCCTTGACCGCTAAAGGCAGCGAGCAGCAGACAAGTAACCTCCCGCCCGACCATGCGAGAGAGATCCTCAGTAGGTAGGCAGATGTAGAGAATGGAAGCATTTATAGCACAGTTGATCGAGATCTTGATCTTCGGCCCGCTGATAGGAATAGGCCGCTGCGAAGCTTATATCGAATTCAAAAATCTCTGGAAGCATTTCCGTCGATGATTTACCTCTTTCGTACGCCTACTTGGGGCGGGTTGGACCGAGGTCAAAGGAGTTTTACTGTTTTGGTGAGCAGCGACGGCAGCCTGGGTTCTGAAGCATCCAGATTTCCCTTTTTGGAACATACTCAAGTACTCGTCCTGGAATACGATTTCCTCGCCGCTTTTTCCTGCGTTGCTGGCTTGTTGGTGATTTCAAGGCGGCATCTGACTATCCCCTGGTCTGGTGAGGTTGGATGGTCCCAATTGTACTGTACACCTGACTGAATTCATGAATACATTTACTTCTATGTCTACAAGTACCTACCTAGGTATCCCCATCTTACAAATAAGCGTGATAATGATAAATGAAGAGAAATTGAAGATGACGTGAATAGAAAAAAAATTGAAGGTTCATGCGCCAACTCTGGTTTCCACCATTACATTCATCGCATACAAATGTTTGTTGACTTCAGACTTTCAATACTGCCCTGAGTAGCAGTGCTTCTTGGTGCTCGCTGCTTTGTCGCTTTCCATGGCCACGTCCACCAATCAAACCTTAGTTTCATGATCATGTGAAGCGACACGTGATGCGCGAAACACGCTAGCACGAAACAAGGTTAGATCTGGCCCCGCGATAAATTTTGTTCTACAAAAATACTTCGTCGCAACCTGCTACAACTCTCGTCTAGCCATCCTCGACATCCTTTCGCGACCACCACCACATGCCTCCCCAATGCTCAAAATAGCTTTGAAGCAGCTTCATAGCTTCATCCAATTATAGATGGTATGTAATCAATCTCCTCGCGTCTGCTTCCTCGCGCGCCACATTTTCAATGATGACAACTCGACACAACTTCTTTCTCCTTCTTAATCGTCCATGATGAAGTTTCTGATGTCCGGGCATTCCATTCGTGGTCTGCCTGTTACTTGCCAGTACTTTTGTCTGAGAAACATCCAAAGCAGCTCGACTTTCGATGCAATTGTTTTCGCGCATTTGCTGACTTGCAAAGATTTTTTAGGTCGCGTCTTCACCCTCGTACCCCATGCCAGAGCAACGTGCTTGAGGTAGGGCAAAGTCGTGCTTATGCCACGCGTCCTTCAGATGCCTCGCGTATTCCTTCCATAGACGAATATCGAATATCGCGCGTCGACAGGCTCTTTGCTATCCCTCGAATTGGACAATAACACACTTGGCACACAGTGGTCCATTAAATGGTCAGTCGGATTTTTCCTCTCTTTCTTCCCTCCCAGCTTTTATGATGAAACACATACCACATTCGCAGTTTTCACTCGAGGCCCAAATTACTTAGAACCTAAACCGTGGCCGGTGACGGTTATATCTTCCTTGGATGTCTGATCAAGCTTCTTCATTTCTCTCAATTTGCATTCTTTTCTTTGCATTAGAGCAAGGGCTAACATTGTTTTGCTTTGAAGATAGGAATACATTCCATAGTTTAAATAATAGATTGATTTCAATTGAATAGATTCTTCCCTCACATCCTAAAGTGCTGTGATTTCAATACCGCGACCGTACCTTGAACCCAGCAGAGTGCTCCCATTCTGATTGCATCCATTCCCCCTTGCTCGATTCTTCTCAGCCATTGCCCTGGACTGTGCCTCTCGTGTATGTTCTAGAACGAGTGAGCCATCATCTTCATACTCAAATCCCAGCTTCACAACGACACTTACTAGACCTGCCTATAGCGATAGTTCTCCAAAAATTCCCTATCAATTTCACACGATCATACTCCTATCCTACCGAAGCCTGCCAAAACACCAAAATCCTCTTCACAACCCTCTAATTTGACGACTGACACAGCATACAGTATAAAAACCTAGAAAGTCCCAAGAGATCAACGGATTAGAGTAAAGAATGGGGTACTATATCTAAATATGCTTACCTTGATCCTTGAGCTTTTCTCTTTCATCTTTTGCCGTTTTGCATTTCGTCAGATTCCGAGTCTATCTTATTGTCAGTAAGATAAATCATCCCTAGGGTCGAAAGATTTTATATAAATCCCACTATACTATCTACGTAACCTCTCAACGGGAACCTTTGAGACCAGGCCCGTCGCCCTGATACAATCAAAAGTTAACATACTCCGTACTGGGTTTTTTTGCGGAGGCCCGTAGATTATAGCCCCAAAGGGAATGAAGGGGTGAGCACCTCACTCACGGATCTGCAGAAATGAATGCTCTTTGATCTCCCCGCGAAGCGAAAGAGAGGATAGAGCGAAGGAGAGGATACAGCGAAGGAGAGAATACAGCGAGAGAGAGAATACAGCGAAGGAGAGAAGGAACTGGGAGACGCTGGACGGAGTTGTTTGATATGGTGATAGGGGGGGATGTATGCGTGCTAAGTACCAGATGTGCTGGGTTGGTGAGGAAGGGGGAAAGAAGGAAGGATTGGAACATCAGTTTGGGATGCTGTTGATTTTTTTGTTTTTGTTGTTGTCGGATTTGAATTCGAATTCGAGATTGCGTTCGTTCGTTCGTTCGTTCATATGGAAATCAAGAGTCGGAGGGGCTTTTAGAGGTGCATACCTTCTGCGAGATTACAGGAATGTTGTGGATTCAGGTGGTACCCGATGGTGAGGTTTCTGAGCACTGAATTCTACTCTCTATTCCATTCCTGTATGTTGGCTGGGGAAGAGACTTGCTTGATCATTTTGGTAGGCGGCATCTGATGGGGTGTTTTGTAATAAGGTGTTGAGCGTTGAAATGGATTTTTGTAGGGGATGAATGGATTGTGGGAGGTGTTGCTGGGGTGTTTTTGAATGTGTTGTTGAACTTGTTGTGATGTGATAGGCTAGGCTGGGCTCGGAGGTGGTTATGTTTGAGTGTAGATAGTTAAGAAGCCTAGTTTGTCTGTTGGTGTGATGCTTATGTGTGTTAATAAGTAACTCCTTGGTCTGGAAATGTTAAGGTCTTGGTTATATCGTGGATTGGGAATTGTGTCTTTGAGTATGAATCCACGGCTAAATAATAAAATACTAGACTTTTACTAACTAAGCTTTGAAGAAAAGTTGGAATGGATAGATAGATAGAAATAGACTGTGTGTTATTCTACTACTATGGTTATGTAGGAAGATGATATATAATATAACATGAAGAATATCGTGATATTTAAAGGATTAATCTCACTCACTATATTTATCCCAAGCTTTATAAAATACCTATCACCAACCCCATTAAACAAACCACCTCACCAAAAAAACTCTCGCGGTACGACCAGAAGGACCTACTACATCATCACAAAGCCCACATAATACCAAACCCCACAAATCAAACAGCAAGCAACCCCAGATCCCAGGTAAATGTTTAAAATAGAGTTCCACTCAATTAGACAACAGCATTCCTCGATGTAATTCACGCACAGAATCAGATACTGGCCAAGAGAAAAGATTGTTCCGAGGTCAAGTTAGAGAAGGGGAGTGTGGTGTATATACAGATTACACCCATTCTTATATTATATAGACATGTAGACTAATTATAAGTATCTACGCAAGGAAAGATGGCGAAGGAGTGTTTACTGTCGAGTTTACTGTTGTTGTCGAATTCTGATTTTTGTGTGATGTTCTAGACTAGATCGCGCGTTTGGGAATGAGAGGAGGATGTGAGAAGTTGGGTAATCTGAAAGATAAGAGTAGGGTTCTTGTGGTAAGTTGGTATCTAGATTAGACCCATGCCAGCGGGCTGTAATGTCAGTATTGTTGCTGATTTCGTTACTGATTGGTAACTTGAAGTTCTTCTATATAATAGCTGGCTAGCATTCATTTCCCAGACTTGACGATTCACCCATTTACGAACGGACTGAGTGTTCTTATGGAGATTTCCTGAGGCGGGGGATATTGAAGTAGTGGATTTTGATATGTTTCGGTTGTTGGTTGGTGTAATAACTCTTGGTAAGTAAGTAATATTGTTTCTTCTGGCCTATTGCCAGGTTTGAATTAAGGAGTGAACGTTATCGTTAGGTAACCTTTTTAACCGTAGTTTCTTGCTGCTTACTAGGGGTTGAGTTAGATTGATGCTTTAGATGGGTTGTCTGATGGGTATTATGTGGTTTTGGTGATATAGGTGCGTAGTAGCGTTGAGATAATCGAGTTTTGAATGGAGAGTTGGGGAAGTTGGATATTTTGAGGTCAAGTCTTTGTCTTGCTTCTTATAGCTGCTTACATGAATACATATCCATTAACGTCATATATCCAGTGAAGTTAGTGACCAATATAAAGGTAAACATGGTCACAGTATACCATTTCTCCACACCTCCACGTACCAAAAGGACTTACGAACATATAAAATAAGAAATAAAGGTTAATAAGCTAGTAAATAAGCCACAGCTACGAATCTTTTATAGTAGAATAGTATATAATCTTCTGGTTGCTGGTTACTTGGATATAAACTGACGACATATCTAATAAAGTCAGTGCCAAGTATGAACAATGAACATGAACACAGTATGCTGTTTCTCCGCGTTTTCACGTACCAAAAGATATTTGTGAAGAACACCGAAACCAAGAGATAGAAGCTAAGAAGGTTAGTAAATAAGCCACAGCTACCAATCTTTTATAATAGAATAGTATATACTCTTCCCCACAAAGACTCTACTCAGACTTCCAATACGTCTTGTATATATGAAGGCCTCGGAATAAGCAATGTCTTCAGTCGTGTCGTTGAAACATCAACAGACTGGGCGAACTCATTGTGAAAGGTTGGACCACCCTCTGGGAACTCGGTGTCAGACATTTCCTGAAACTATACGGAAATTCCTGACACCGTCCTAATTAGGTATTAAAAGGTAGGGATTTAATAACCAAAAAGTAGGCTTCTAAGGACAGAGGGTACCCTAGAAACTATTATACTTCTAAGAGAGTTTAAGCGCAACCCGAGCGTTCCGCGAGCTATCTAGCTATATTATAGAGCCTTTCCCCCTCCCTTTACCTCTATAAACTACCTATAAGTACTTAGTCGTTTTCATCTATCCCTCTCCCTCCCTACCTGTAAGTACTTAGTCGTTTTCATCTGTCCCCCTCTATCCCTCCCTGCCTATAAGTACTTTTACACTTTACCCTCCTGTAGGTATCTCTACTTTTATTATACCCCTATACCCCCCCTCTCTCCCCCTCCCCTACCTATAAATAAGTAAACGCGTAAACAAGACTTAAGTAAAAAACCACACCTTTAGTACGAATTAAGATTTGACGGCTACCGTTAGTATCAGGAAAAGTACGCGTTAGGGAAGGTTTTATACCCCGGGTCGGCCCGCCGGGTGTCAGGTATTTCCTGACGCAGTTCCCAGAGGGCCAGATGTCTGATGGATTTCTCCCGTATGAAACTTTCCTTCTTCATAATACAAAAACGCAGAATTGAATTGTAAAACATAAGGGCGAGCTCTCAATTTCTTGGGAAATCCCCATCCGTCCTGAAAGGTGAACGGAAAATCGACAACAAGTGAATACTCGACAGTAAAAGCTCACTAGACTTCTTTCTTACTACTGAAGAGGGGCCTCTTAACAGGTAGAAAGGCGCAAGGAATATTTAACTGATAGGAGATAGATTCCTGTATCTAGATACAAGTTGTAAAATTACATCTTGAAAGCTCGTCGGAGATCCCATAAAATTGCCACCTTATGACACCAGTAGGCTGTTTGTGTCTATGTATTAGCCCCCTCGAGACTTTATACTCTCCGAGAGTGTCGAGAACGTTTTGAGCAGGTACGTTTTTACAAGGTTTCAATGTGGTGTTGAAAGAGCTGTGGATTTTATCTAATATCTTGTTACTCGTTACTTAACTTGAAATTGTAAGATTACGGGACCCAGCAAAAGAGAACGGGAGGACCACTCATGAAGGATTAATAGGTCAGACAGGATAGCCTGTTACTCTGTTTTCGAAGTTCCTTGCGGTGTAATGAATCAGTATGTACTATTCCTACCATTCCAACTATCCAGACTCCCATTACATACTTTTGCCACATATCTCCTTTTAAGATCACCGTATTGAATGTTCATTTCATTCATCCCGCCTCCATCCTCTTTATTACAAGTCCTCGCATTCAATTCTCCAGCACATCGTCTTGCAAGACAACACGTTGTATTCGATACCCATTCGCTCTACCTAGCACTGATAAAAACTCTCACCTACTATATAACCCTACTCTTTCGTAACGCCCTTGCTGCTCAAGGTTCAGCTTAAGTTAAACAAAACGTTTCCTTGAACATATTTTGAAGTTGTTGAAAGAATAAGTAGTAATCGACAGTAGATAGAGTTTCGACAGTAGATTAGGTATGAACAACTGAATATACAGTTTTGAACTGTGTAGGTATGGCGGTCATAACCACCGCAGTCAGGTCGTTCTTCTTAGACCATTCTCAACCTAATGTTGTTGTTTAGAGCTTCAGTGAAGTTGCTTGTTCCGCCGTCCTCCTTCTTGCGCGTCCATGGTTGTCGCATGATATCGTTGGCGGGAACAAGTGCACGCTGGTGATGGTATTTATATACAGGCGACAAGATACCAGTGAGTATTTGCGCTGGTTGATTTCGTTCCGCTGCGTGGGATTGGAATACCAATAGAGAAACAGTCTAAAGGAGCAAAGCCCCTCTCTTTGCTGTAGGTAATCAACTCAGATATTGTACCTCACATACGGTTTACGCAAAGAAAACAATCTCCATTTCGCTCATTTGGATTGACTAATATTATAGCTACTTCAGTCTCCATGTTTACTATCCTCAATTTGCCCCATGAAAACGCCGCCAACCGAAAATTGATTACCATGAGGTATGAAGATAATGATTTTTCACCAGATATCTCTCTGCCCCCCAACAGACCCCCCAAGAATCTTCGTTGCATAACCCAAGGCACATCATCCATCCACCTAACCCATTTCCACCTTCCCAATTTCTCCACTTCCACCTTTGCTGCACCCTTCGATCCTCCTCCCCTCCCAGGTACTAAAAATGAAAAAGATCATCGCTGAATAGGCGTGTTCTTTGACATGCCCTTCACTGTAGCCTTTGGAAAATCCATTCGCATACCACCAGCTTTCTCTGGCATTTCCTTCCCCATGAAACTCGATGCCTTCGCTTGCATCCCACCAGCATTCTCCTTTGGCATCTCATTCACCCCTCCCTTCACCGCTTCCTTCTTCACAGCCATCAACGTCGTCATCATAACGCCCTTCTCCAACAAAAACTCGCTATCCGCCCGAATCTCATCCCCAGGATACTTATACAACTGATCCTTTCTCACCTTGAGTAAAATGTCCACGATTTTACGCTGCTCGGTCGACGACTTGCTTCGCTCAATGGAATCCAATGTATTATGACACTTACCACAAAGATAAAGACCACAGCCAATGAAGTCCGGGTGTGTAGTGTCGGCCAATTTAGCGGCGGGATTTTTGGCAAAGGATTTGGAGGAGAATCGGTGAGGTGCGGAGCATTGGTATTCAGCGACCGAGGTACAGATGGAGCACCATTTTGTGTTCATGGCTAGACTTCCTTCTTTCTTGGAGTTGCCGGCGTTCATGGCTTTGAGGGATTTCTCGAGTTCTTCCGCGCTGAAGGATCGTTGGTCGTAGTTTTCCATTGGGACAATCTTGTGGGTGAGACATGTTGTGATTCGGACTCGGTAATATGTGCAAGAGGAGCACATCTTGGAATTGGTACCTTGTTGAGCTAAGTGGCCTCCGGAAACTTCAATGTTACCCTTAGAACCTCCGTACGGAACGACTTCAACCTCGTTGACACCATAACCCCATAGGCCGAAGTAGGGAGACTTGCAGAATAGACATAGGTCACTGCCATCCTTGGGAGGCTCGTGATTGAATTTGATAGGATGGGCAAATGAGGTAGATATGATTTTATGATGAATGCCGTCAGTGGTAGCTGAGAGACGTGGCGATATAGGAAGCCGAAAGACCTTTTCCCTAGCTCGTTTTCCAATGCCCGATGTCTCAATCATCAAACCCTTGCCCTTTTGTGATCCGACAGATTGCGGTAGAGGCAAGGTTGGATTGCCTGTTGAGTTGGTAAGAAATGTATTAAGATATCAGAAACGATTTGGAAGGGATAAATCAATTGAAATATGCGCAGGGGAGACTTACTACTACTTGAAGGCTTTCCAACTACAGTATCCCCTTTCTTGGTCCTTTTCCTCTTTGCGTCCTTAGCTGCCTGCTTTGCCTTCTTCTTCTGCACTTTCTCTGCTGCTTTTTTGGCTTCAGCCTCTCTTTCCGCCCTTAATCTCATTTCTGGAGGGCACTCGATGAACTCGCATTCTTTGCCTAGTTTCTTGCAGCGACCGCATGGCCCCTTGTCCGTTTTGTTCTTCAATGAGCACCTTTTCTTGTTTCCCCGACATTCCTGGCAAGGGACATACATTCGTGGGTATGGGTCGGGCGGAGGAGATGGCGATTTGATGTTGGCGAATCTTCGACCGTATTTCGAATCCTCATCCAATGGTCCAGCAATACAAGGTACTTCATCCTCGTCGCAATTGTCACACTTTGTAACTCCCTTTCCACTAAAGTTTATTAGCATGACACCGAACTCAAAAAGAGGGAATATCATTTACCCATTCAAAGTGTAGGAGCACTTAATCTTCTCATGTTGGCAATTCTGACAAGCCTTTTTAAGTTTCGGGGGAACGATAAGCTCGCAATCACTGCCAGCATCTTCGCAAGCTGCACAAGGGTAATCTAGTGGATGATCGATGAGAGAGCAGGAATCGTCACTACGAAGAAAACAAGACTTGCAACCTCGAATCTGTGGGTGTCCTTCTGTCAAGTCCTCGATTGTTCTGCCATCGCTTCTATTCAAGGTCAGCAAAGACTGGGAGCTTCATGGAATACACATACCTTTGTTTTAGGGCATTAACCAGTCCACGGCGTCGCTTGAGTTTTCGGCGTGGAAGGGGAGCGTCGTTATCATCCAAAGGATCCGAGGACTCGCCACCATCACCACCGGACTCAGGCTTTGGATCGTATGGGCCTGGTGTGATTGCCTTTAAATACTCCTTCCCAGTATCCCCAGCAAATTTGAATGACATTAGATAACTGTAGCCGACAGGTATTCTCTTGACTTGCTGTGTAGCATTGTCGCCGTCGATGGCACTTCGCTCAACTCGGGACTTCTTAGTTTTGGGAGCAGGTGGTGTTAAGCGGCCTCCTCTTGGATTGTAAGTTCCACTTGTATCCTGATCAAGCCATGTACTTGTCATGCCAATGCTGGTTGTGGCGACTCTTCGTCGTGAGTTGAACTGAATAGCAAGCTCCCGGATCTGAGCATTTGCTGATAATCCTTCTCGTTCGGCTCTCCGTTCTGCCAACGCATTCTGAAGGAACTCCGCCCCAAAGGAGGGCATGATGAGATGGAAGAAATCAAGGCAAGTGTTCGTTGATGTCTACTGTAGATGATGCGAGTTGGCTATGTGTATGTCATGGAGGATCCAAGCAGAGCGAAACACCTTAGAAGCTCCTTCAGAGCAATGTAAACTTGATATGTTGTTGTGATAGAGTATCCAAGCCTATGAAAGCATGTGTAAGAGTATGTTGAATGAAATGTAGATTTGTTGTGATGTTGTGGTGGAGGATGAAAGAGATGTGTTGGGCGGAGGGAAGCTGAGGTCGGCCACCATGAAGCAGATTCCGAACTTGAAGGTGAAGCTATGTTGAGTTCCAAGGAGAAATAGTATTGAAAATCCACGAACAACTGTGAGTCTGAAAAGACACTAACCAATACTTCTTTGGATTTCTCCCAGCTTCTCAATGTCTATCAGTGGTCGGTCGGTCAGCTTCAACTTTGACAGGATGTTGTATTTACTGTCAGAATTTTATCGCTAGACTAAGCCTGTAGTAGACTCCTCTAGGGCTGTCTCAAGAGAGTGGCGGAGGTGGTGAATAATATGGCTCATCCAGTGAATTAATTATAGGCGAAAAGCGGCAAGGTTAACTGAAAAAGGGTAGTGGACCTAGAACAACTGAAAGACTCCCAGATATTATCAATAGTTGAGATGAAGGCAAACAATGGATATGAACGAGTTAAGTTACGCGAAGCCTTCGCTTAATTCAGAGCACTTGGAGCCAGCCTCTCACTGCAAGTATGATGGATAAAATAGCCTCATCCATATTCCAGCAAAAGTCATAGCCAAACTCCATGGAGTAAAACATGAAATATATAGTGAATATCATGTATACGAGATCCTCGACAGGGTCCTCATTTCGAAAGAGCCTGCGCTGTAAAAGATGGAGATACAAAACATAGAGGAGAAGCGTTACTACGCGGAAGAAGAGATGGGTGAGAGGACCTTCGGTATATTCGTTACGATTCATGGGAAGAAGGTATGAGACGAAGAAGAGGTTCGTGAGCCCCATTTTGTTGAGATGATCGACGCATGCCCCTGAGTGTCGTTGTCTTTCCTAAGAAGATGGGACGAAAATAAGATCGAGGGATGCGTGGATTCACCAAATTGATGGACTTGAAGCCACAAATGCCCAAAGGGTATTCCTCGGGGTTTTCATCAAGTCCCCACTTCTTTCTGGGATTGTTGACCAATCACACGCCAGCCAAGATACGCTAAAATGCGCTAAAAGATTTTGCAGTTCCTTCAAAAGCTCCCGAGCCTCGATATTTGCACCTTCTCCAACCAATTTTCAAGCATGATCGCCAGCTGAACAACCTGAACATTCTCTCCCTCTGCGGCGGGATGAGGCTCCTCTTCATCAGACACGGCGAGACCGTCGACAACGTTGCAGCTCTCTAGTATGTTTACGCAATCGCCTTCGCGCAACCCCGCCACTCCTAGCTTGTGCTTGTGCTAACCATAGCAGTGCTGGCGTAAGAGACTCTGCCCTTACCAATCATGGCATCCTTCAAGCTAAACGACTCGGATCACATTTGGTTGCAACTGGTGTAAAGGTTTCCCATATCTTCTCGTCAGATTTGCAGCGTGCAGTCGTAACCGCTGAAGCAATTCGTGCGGTTCAAGTTCCTCCACCGAAGACAACCCAACTTGCAATATTGCGTGAACAAGATTTTGGAAACTACGAGGGCAGGCCATACTCTGAGCTCCGGATGAATCAGAATGCGAACTCCGAAGTCCGCAACATCCCTGGTTTCAAGGACGTCGAGTCAAAACCAGCAATGCAGGCACGGATGGAAAGCTTCATTGATCTTCATCTTGCTGGCTTAATTGCAGAGGGTATTCCAGGACTTACAGTGGTAGTAGTGGCACATGGGATCATCCTCAGTCATCTATGGAGATGTCTGCTGAATCGTTTCCACTCATCTGATGTTGTTGTTTCTCCTAATGCACTATTCGAGGATCGAGGATTAGGTCTCCAACGTCTAGGTCGATGGTCGAATACTGGGGTTTTAGACCTCCAAGTTAAGCGCAAAGCTGTCCCTATCGAGCCAGAAGAACCTCGACCAATGGCAGAGGATACTTTGACAGAAGGATTGCAAGTTGCACCGACTGTTGTGCCTGCTTTTTCACCTCCAACTCAACCTACTTTAGTTTCTACAGTGCCCTCTCCTACTACAAGGGCTTTCTTCACTAGTTTGTCACTCTCTGTAATAGCAATCAACAATCAGGATCACCTTCAAGGTCTCAAAAAGACTCGAGGCGGCATTGGGAGTTTGAAGCATGATTCGAGCCAAAGGACAATGGACTCGTTCATCAGGAAGAAGCCGAGGGTGGAATAGACCTGACCACATATTGTGGTACAGGTCGACTCTCGATCAAGTAAGTTTGAGCAATCTTTCATTTTCTCAATATCCTGTGATATGATTCGAACCCTTATTCACAGACCTGTTCGGAGCTTCCGCAATGAGGACTCACAAAGTACCAACTGCTGTATGATCACAATTTATACAATGTCTTAATATCATGCATTTGATTGATTGAATCATTGCTAACAAATTGTCTTCAGGTCTCTATTTTCATAGTTCATCAACAGCCCTTTTCGTGGAGCTCTACACGGTAGGAAATCGGGGTGTTTCTCTCAATAATGCTTGCGCCCGTAGTTTTGATGCCGAATAATAGAATAGATGATAGCTCAGTTCCGTATATATAGAATCATGCCCCTGACTATTTCACCTTTTCACTGCTCGTGATCTCTCCCCCTTTTCGAGATATAGAATTTGATGATCGGACAAATACTTCCAATTACTTATATAAGCTTTCACCATTCCATTGATTATTCCTTATCTATATCTATATATTTTTATTTTCAATTGGAATAGTTCGCGGATCTCAAGTGTCCCAGTCCCGAGAGAACTCAATTGCGCGACAGGATCGTCAGACATTATGGTCATTCCTGCCTCATAAACGGTTCTTGCTTGGCCGAGATCTGGGAATTTCCGAACGTTCTTTCTTTTTGATCTTATCCTTTCGCTCGACGAGACTGAAGTTGCGCTCCTTCTCGTTCCATCTTACCGACCTCCGAGCCACGATGACGAGAGCAAGAAGAGAGGTCGCGAATACTTTCCACCTGTTCAATTGAAGTATATACCAACTCAAATTCTCACACACTCTCTTCTTTCCTCTTTACGCATCCTACGATTGATTGTCCATCTCATTCCATCCCAATCCAGTCCACTTCAATCCAGTTCGCTGTCACCATTTCCTTTTCTAAATGTCAAAAGTTCCAGACCCCGACCCCATCATTACCTAACGAAACACGCCACCCCACTTAGCACCTGCACCCACCTGACACACACCCACAAAACCCACACCAACACCCCAGTCTGTTCAACAATATAGTTACTAATAAAATCTATCACAATATCCAATCACCTCTTCACGAAAGCGAAAAGGGACTGCTGGCGCAACGGCAGCGCGTCCGCCTCCAGAGCGGAAGGTTATCCGTTCAAATCGGGTGTGGTTCAATACCTCGCAATTTACCTGCTCCTTTATTTTTTGCATTTTTTTTCTAATGGGGGGAGTGAGAGAGGGAGGAAAGAGGAAAGAAGAGGGAAGATGGGGTTGTCTCTTGGGAGGGTGTGGAATGTGGAATGTGGGGTGGATCTGGTACGAGTACGAGGAAAACTCCGGGAAATGGACGAGATGGATTACTACTGGTGCTACTTACGAGTAAGAGTACAAGTAATACAAACAATAAGATGCCCAACACTGCGTTTTTGGCGGAACAAGTCTCCTCTTATACTTCTTCGCCTTTCATATCTAGAAAGTCTTGAAGATTAAATCCCCTCACCTCATTTAGTATCGCACAAAATCAAAAACCCAGACTACCTCTGTAATTCCATCATACCTAACTTACCTGAACATGTGACACGGAAGAACAATCGACAGAAGAAAAAAGAGAACTACAGGAAGTGAGTTCTCAACTATCCAGAGAGATTCATTCTTCTATGACGTTACGTCTAATAGTGACGTTTGTATAATTTTCAGGTTTAGAGTAAAGGACCGAGAGTTGGGGTTAGTGAAGAGGCTATTGGAATGGGGAAAATCAATGTAAACTCGAAAGATTGGGTAGAGGTAGGTATTATATTATGCTATAAAAAGTCTCCGTATCTGTTCACATGAACAATAGCTAGATTACTGGGATTGGCAATTGTGTTGGGTTGTTTAATGTACAAGACAAGCTGCCAGTACCAGATACAGAGAGCTGTAGACTTCCAATTACTTCAAGTAACGTTATTAAGCTCATTAAAATCAAGGTGCAAAACATAGCTCTTTCATTCATAAGGATCATCTAATAGAACATCAACTAAATATTTTTTCGTTCCATTCAACTTTTCACCTACTCCACGTTCTCAAAATGGCAAGTTGGAACCCCAGGAACAGCGGCCTCAGCATTTGGAGGTAAAGCCTCGGTATCCTTACCCTCTCCGTCACCACCGACAACCTTTCCAGTCTTACCCCCCTCTCCTACACTCACGATATCAACCTCCTTAAGACCCGCTGCCTTCTTGAGACCAGGAATCATGTTCTTCAAAGTGGATATCTCGTCAAAAGCAAGTTTACGCTCAAAGACATTTTCCGGTGACTCGCCGCCTACAAGACGCTTCTTGAGACCTTGAACGAAAGGCATAGCTTTCTTCATCTCTCCCATCTTGGATATCTTTCCATTGAGTTCCTTATCATTGACGGATTTAGTCGTTGGGTTCCACGCCTCTCGAACCAAATCAATATATTTCTCTTGCCAAGCTGGGAATTTTGCAGCAGCGAAAATTGTGAGTTTCTTGGGTTTGGTGAGATCGTAGCCAATATCCTTGCCTTTGGCCTTCTTCTTTTGTGAAGCTGCCTCAGCAGAAGTGATATTTGAGGATGTAACACGAACGTAAACTCTTGCCGCTGACAAGCCTGCGACGGGTGCTGGTACCACTGGATAAAGGGCGTTTTGGATGGTGGATGGTTTGTTGAGGACCTCGAGCCAGATGTACTCGGACCAATGAGGGGCGATGACGGTAAGTAGGAGGGCTTGAAGTTCGATGTACTTGAAGACAAGGTCCTTGTGCATCTTGAGGCCGGCTGCAGCAGAAGCTTCACGGTAGAAGTCACGAGCTGAAGTAAAGTTGTAAAGTGCAGATTGAAGGGCGAGTTTGTAGTTGGTTTCTTCATAGTGACCCCGAGCTTCGTCGACAAGTGTATTCATTTCATTCTCGAAGAGGGCATCCAGGAAGTCATTCTTAGGGCCTGTACGAAGACTATCTTGTTCTTTGACTTGCTCTTCAATCCATTCGCGAAGAGTAAAGAGACGGAGAACGTTGTTATCAGCAACATCTTCTTCGAAATTGGCATCGGCAACTCCATCTCCAGCATCTGCTAAAGCAATCCTGCTTGCATCTGCGCCGTATTTCTTGACCATGTCGTCCAAAGTCATGAAGTTTCCGGTCGACTTACTCATCTTCTCTCCGTTCAATAGTAAATGTCCGTTGGCACGAACACCCTTTGGCCAGTATTCAGGCGTGAAAATGGCAAGGTGGATGTAGAGGAAGAAAGTAAGATGGTTGGGAATGAGATCCTTTCCTGAAACTCGAAGGTCCAATGGGTACCAATACTCGAATTCTCTTCGCATTGAGGCAATCCATTCTTTTGAAATCCCAGAATTCAAGACCTCGTCACCCAACTCGCGACGAGCAAAGACATAGTCCCAGACTTCGTCAGTCATCTTTTCTGGACCAATACCTGCTGAACCGGGTGTTTTCCCAAAAATGTCTTTGTGGAGGAAATGTGCAATTGTGTAGTAAGCCATATAGATCGTGCTGTCACTCAAACTCTCAACCAAAAATTGAGGGTCCCAGGGGAGCTTAGATCCAAGACCGTAGGTTCTAGCACAAGCCCATTGGTTGAGCCAATTTAGAACACCTTCATAACCATTCTTCGTCTCGGCGGTGTAGGTGTTCAAACCCTCTCCATCCTTGTTGTCCACATGTTTCAAGGCAACTTGCTTCCAGCTCTCTTCTCCATAGTCAATGTACCACTGGTTCATTAACGCGACGCAGCAGTCATCTCCTGATCTGCTGATAACTTTCTTCTCCGGCTCGGAATACGCAAATCCATCACCAGCATCAATAAGCTGTTGGCGAACCTTTGGTTTGGCATCCTCTACTTTGTCCCCGGTAAACTCACCATGCACCATGATACCTTGGAAGTGACCTTCTTTATAGGCAAGAGCTTTGGCTTCCTCGAGCTGCTTGGTGTCTTTTGGCGAAGAGATCTTCATCTTTTTGACGAGGAAAGGTGCGGTGAGTTGACCATAAGATGGTGTTTCGATGATTGGAATGATCTCCAAATCTACCCATTCCTTCTTGATACCATAATAATCTGCCTTCTTTGCAAGTTCTGTGACCGTAGCAAAATCATCTGGACTGTCAGATGGAACCGAAGTAACGACTCCTGTACCTTTTGTTGGAAGAACCGACTCCATTGGAAGGATTCTAACTTCTTTGTGAACGGAAAGAGGGGCGTTCACAAGAGTACCAACGCAAGACGAACCAACCAACTCCGCAACCTTCTCAAAAACGCCATTTTCAGGGAAGATGCCTTGATAAGCCATGTTTCGAGCTGCTCGATCAGTAATCACAAAATATTCCTTCTCAGAAACCTTGAAAACGCCATATTTGATCGTTGGCCCCACAAAACAACAGACTTGTCCATACATAGTTTCTGGTCGAAGAGTCGCAGGAACGAAAAATACATCAGACCCCTCAGGAACCTTGCCTTTGATGGCCTCTCCAGCTTCCGGTGCCCACTCCTTGACTTTTAGTTTTAGAGCTGTGTAGTCCTGTGGGCCAACACCCTCTCCCTCGCTACGATCGTGGTCCATACAAGGCTGTCCGTCCTTTGGCGAGTAAATTGTGTATCGCTTTCCAAACTTGATTTTCTGCAACTCCTTCAGTCGGTTCATCTGCCATCTTACAAATGCATCATAATATGGGTTTGCGTCTGTCGTAACAAAAGATCTTCGCCAGTCAATTCGTGCTCCGAAGTTGGTAAGATCCCGCTTGCATAGAGGAGGGAAATATTCCAACCAATACTGTGGGTCTGAAAATCGATAGATCTCCGAGGTAGGTATTCCTAAGGCTTTCATGATCTGAAATTGGTACTTCATCTTGACTACCTTGGACGCTGCCTTTCCTTTCTTTGCTTTGAATTTCGAGACATCTTCGTTGGCGGCTGGTGCATCTGCTGCAGGTTTCTTCTCCTCCACGACGTCGTCGTCTGAATATCGCTCGAATTCCTGACCAAATAACTTGATTTCGTTTATAAGTTTATCTGCACATGCCTTGATAGGCATACCAGTGCAATGGAAGCCTAAGGGAAACAAACTTCTCTTTCCTTGCATCCGCGCAAAACCAGTACCGAACTCGATTTTACTCGCCGTGAAACTGTGGCCTGCATGTAAAGTTCCGTTCATGTATGGATATGCCATTGTACCAAAGAACTTGGGGGTTTGCTTGCGCAACTCGGTGGCGGTAATAGAATCGAGGGGCACCTCGCTGGTGGTTGGCGCATTGGGTTCGAATACACCATCTTCCTGCCATTTTGCTTGGTACTTTTTCTCAATCGCAATGAGGGTGTCTCTTTTTTCTGTCTGCAAAACACTCAGTCAGTATGGGGTCGTTGGTGGGGATAGCGGGGTACTTGCACCCTTCAACTCCTTGGTTTTGGAGATGGTTGCTGTCTCCAAGGCTTTGGCAGTTGCCTCAACTGCGGTGGCCATGATTGCGATTACTTCAAGAGCGACCAGAGGAATTAAGATAACTTGCTGTAATTCTTGTGTTGGTGTTGTAGGTAGTTATCGGTTCATCTCCTACTGAGTCAACGCCGAAAATTATTTGGTGGGGTTGATGGGCGGCAGGGTTGCTGTGGCTGTGGATGAGCAACTTTCGCATCCTGAGGCACCGACAACCTTTGAGGTCAGCCTTACAGCTTCAGTTCGCAGAGCTTCATTGCTTAACAACAACAACATGTTGCCAACAATAGTTCGCCGAACAGCACAAGCTACGGTGCGGAAAACGGCCCCCTATATCTACACGAATCCTCACAAGGCGAAACATACATGGCCTCCCGACTTTTCCAACATCCACCCTAAACACCAGTTCAGACTTGAGCGCAAGTTCAAGAGAAGAACGAAGCTAAAGTGGGCACGGCCGAGGTGGACGAAGGCTGTCAAGTTGGTACAATTTGGATCAATTGTTTGTGAGTTTGTCTAGGAGAAAGAATTTGTGTGAAGTGGCGCATGTTGACCGATTCAATAATGCAGTTGTCACGATATACGGAGTACTTTTCTTAGATTGGAATGATGCGACCAGTGTCAATCCATCGAAGCCACCGTTCTATGGGGTATGATATCAATGACCTAGTCTCCTCTTTCCTAGTCGTATGCTGATACACTAAAGGTGCGAAAATGGTTCTTTGGAATGGTTGACTCTATATGGTCGCGGGATGATGTACGTCGACGACCCGGAGAAGGATTAGATGACTCTTCTCCCGTTGCTAAACCGGAGAACTGACTCTGTATTCCATTACCTTCGTCTCATGGGAGATTGTACTCTATAGTTGTACGACTTATGGGTTGATATGGGAGTTCTATTTCCTTCGCGTGGGCTGCAGGCGTGTTGCATTTGCATTGCGTTTAATGGAGTCTTGGTTCATATCTCATTCCCTTTTGGATCGAAGATAACCAGAATTGGTTCCTCGATTCGTGTTTATTGAATGAAAGCAGGCATCTTGCAAGTTGTGAGTACTCCAGGACCCAATCATTGCATCATTCAACCATTCCCCATGGCCACGCTACTTTGGCGATCTGAAATCCTATGCTGAACAATTGAAGTGCCAATTATTTTTCGATGGGAAGGTAGTCGAGGAAACATGATGAAAATTCAGTTAGCTTTCAGAAGAGGCCCGATGCGTATGGTGAGTGTTGTTATTGTGCAGGTTTCCATGTTTTGATGGCGAATATTGGGAAGTCTACATGCGAGGTTTCCTCAACTCTACTTGGAGTGAGTTTAATACTGGGTGACTCGACCCCGGTCTATGAGAACGAGTCGGGATTTGCGTACTAGGATGTCGCGATTTGAGAGTAGAGATATACAGCCATGAATTTTCTTCAACTTACCGAGGATTGAGTCCAACTTTTATCTGGAATCCGTCAATTCTCTGAATGTGGACCCGCAGCCTTTCTATTGGAAACAGCCGGCCAAGGTCAATAGTTTAGGACTTACGTTTGAGCTCGGGATGAAGTTTTGTGCCTTGGCAACATCAATGAGTATACATCCATAGTAAGTACGTTGCCTATTGATAGAAAATTCAAGAACCAGATTATACAAATGAGATCTATAAAGCAGTACCTGTTTGAGAACCGAAATGGACTCCTCATAGGCGCCAGACTATTGGCTTGACGCTGCCAGAGTGGTAAGAGGAAGAGTCAAAACAGCGTTTTTGCCTTTGGTTCCTGCTTTATAAAACTTGCAGCCTGTCTCAAATTCTCAAAATATCTTACCTAATGGAGGATGATTTTTTACTTATAGTTGCTGCTATGAAAGATGTGTTAAAGAACGATTATCCTAAATTAGCTAAATTAAGACTATATTTAAGTGAAGTAGGGCGAATTTGTAATAAACTTAGTCTGACTATACCATGAACTCTACCCATAAAAGCCCTACTTACACCCTCCAAGAAGGTCTTAACAACAGTTATAAGAGAATTGAGGTCAGAACTTTTATTTCAAACCTCAGCCTTGTCTTCACTCGCTTAACAGTAAGCGAGAGATGTGAAGGCGAGTTTTTTCCTCAACATAATGACTCAAAAACTCGTCAGCAATGCATACAAAACTATTCCATTCAAACTCATCATGGTGCTAGTTCTTTCCTGGGATGTATATTTCTCTGCGGCTCAATAATCTTCCCCTTCAGGCGCTACATCACAAGTACAGGAATAACAACCTAGCCGCTTATATTCCAGTGTTAGTTCTACAACACGGGCGCAACTTTCACTCACTATGAGTAAGATACTTGTACATCATGCACCCAGCTACCTGTCTGTATTTCACAGATCTGACCATCTCTGATCTCAGAACGCCACATTGCCACCTGATCGGCCATAGTTGGGGTAAATATTAGTCAGATCGCTGGGGCCCATGTAGGTGTTTAGTGACAACTCATGGACAAGTGTTTTCTTACTGTTTCCTTACTAGAGAGTTGCGGATGGGCCGACGACGATGCTTTTGGTCAGTTAAAGGTTCTGAATGTTACTATCAAAAGGTTTATATACAGACATCGTAACGTTGTGGCTTATAGTAAGCTGAGAAATCTATTAGTCTATAGACATGGCAGATTGATATAAACTTTTTATTGATCTTCAAAAGTATAAACAGGAGCCTGGTGTATCTCGACAATATTGTACATATCTATTACTTCCACTCGTGTACGGACATTTTACACCCCCTTCATTAGTGCGATCCCGAAAGATGGAGGGAAGATTATGAGCGGTAAACCTTATTGGTATCAAGAAGTGGCTTCAGCCTCCATCAAACTCAGATTTTAGAAAGCAAACATGATTCTTCAAACCCTGTTGCCTGATGTACCCTCACCTGTAACATCCACGCTTCTCCTTACAAGTGATCAGATGAGGAAGGCACGATGGCACAGATACGTAACAAAAAGATGTCCAAGGCGCCTTACTATTTCTCTACCGATTGCTTTGCAATTGGAAGTTCGTGAGTATTTAGGGGAATCGGTAAGAGAAGATTCTTTGTGTATGCCCTGGCCCTTGGGGGTATTACTTCCTCGTTGGTATTTTGCATGCTCGAAGTTTAAACACAACCTTCTTGACAGATGTCGATACTATGCTGCCTACTTGCTCGGCTGAAAATCCTTGTTGTTGTTTTTGTAGGATACGGAGAATCAGTTCGGCCCAGATGAATCAATAGGAGATTTTTCGGGGAGTTTTCGATCATCGTCTGGAGACCTCATGACAAAGGAATACACTGTGCCGCACTTAGTCGCTGTCATTGAACTTGATCATTAGACAGCTCAGGCATTTAGACAGACTGAAAAACTAAACCTACGTCTGTGGAATAAAATTAATACATTCTTGGCTAACATCCATTCCACTATTCATCAAACTCCACCTGGACATCCAACAAAACACTTCACTTAATCTCGTAGCACGGATCTCGAAATCCTGCCAAGTGAAGATATCGGTGATGAGAAAGGGGGGGTACCTCCTGAGCAATTCATTCAATCAAGTATGAGAATATGCCTTCACGTAAATCGGTAGAGTATATGAGCATGATACAGTCAAGTCAGCCTAGCCCTATTCCACGCTCAACTTTATTACTTCTCACGGTTAAAACTTAGGGAAGTCAAAGATACCCCTTCTGGAAATTAGAGAATGATTTCAAATGCCCCTTTCGATAAAATCTATCCTGGATGCCTTACTCGGTATAACAGATCTAATGAAAGAGCTTGTACACCGAACCCTTGAATCGAGTCTAGTTTCCGAGAATATTTGAGCTTCCCTCACATTATACCTATCTCATGTATATGCGATAGTCGCTATCGGTGTCTACCAAGAGCTACGATATATTCAACAACAGCTTTTGAGCCCCTATATCTAGTGGCTTATTTATAAACCACAGGGCAAGTCCGATTGGAAGCAGAATAAATGCTTACTACCTTAATTCCAATTTCAGTACCGGGCCAGGATGAATTTATTTCAATAAAGTACCTTTGATCAACTCAATAACGCTCGGTAACGACCAAGGGTTCAACTGCCAAGATACCACAGGACATTTTGAGCGTGGCCGCGATTACAGCTTACGTGTTTTATGAAAGTATTCTAGAAAAGAAGTCTTCCATTATTTCGGTTCGCTAACCAAGCGAGTCTGTCATAAAGTAATCCTTACGACCATCTTTTCTAATACGAGGTATCACCGAAAATTCATTTCTTATTGTCTGATAACCAAAGATATCCCCTCGCAATGCCGTGGTGTGTACTTGGGTGTAGCACATTACCAAAATATCCAGTAGCTGACTTCACCGACTTTGCTGCGGAATCTGATTGATGAATGCTTCGCAATAATTGATCAGAAGCTTGTAGAAGAAAGGCGTTCTTGTGAAAGTGGCGTGCTTGAGGCTTCCCCAAATCGCCACCGATCTTAAGTAACGTATGCATACGGGTGCTGAGTATATCGGTGCCCTGTTTCCTGCCCACGACCCCATGTTCTAATTTTTGTTACCGGTAATCTGGTCCACGCAGCGTCTAAACTTGCCAAACCCAATGGCGTTACCGATACTCCATTAGAAACTCCCAGTGCAACTATGGCATCAGCATCGAGGCACCTTAACCGATGATATCGTAAACTCGGATGGCACCCCACTCCAAAGTTAGAACTCCATGCCAGCCGTTATGTTTCGAATTTCCAAACCCACTCACAACCCCAACACCGTGGAATCCTCATCATGAGAATCTATTAAACAGAAGATGGAACTTTTCAGCCACAGATAACTAGCATGATGAATTCTGCGGTTCTCCCACGATTTCTTCCCTCATCTGCCTGCCCATGCAAAGTTGCCCCCCATACCTATACCCAAGCCACTACCACTCCTCCCTTCGTTCACAGGCCTCTTTGCAACCTTACCCTGAGCCCTAACTCCCTCAACCACACGTTCCAATTGTGTCTCTATTACCACACCACCTACCACCATCTCACTCAGCGTTGTATGCAGCGTCTCAAAATTGAAAATAAGATCTAGTTCGCAGACATTCTCGAAGAGACGATCTAGAGCTTCAACGTATACTTGTATGAGATCGATGAGCGCGAGCGGGGATTCGGTAGAGGTAGAAATTATAATGAAGTAGAGGGTAGCATAATGTCGATAGGTTACGAGCGACGGTGTGTCATTGTGGGTGGTGGAAGAGGTGTGGGAAGTGCCGGAGCTGGCAAGCAGAGGAGGAAGAGGCAGGAAGTTGCAAGATCCAGCAGGACGATTAGAAACGAGGGTGAAGATTTCGGAAATCAATCTTTGCTGAACTGAAGTTTCCTGGAGTTTTGCGTTAGAGTATATGCTATTATGGTGGGCCAATGAGGGAAACCTACCAGCTGGGTGTAGAATTTGGTTAAACGAGGTTGACCAGCATTATTGAAGACGAGAACGGCGTTGATCATGTTGATCGTTCTACACAAGGCCTCCGTGCGAGTAGATGTAAGATGAAGCTATTCAGACTTCCAAAGTTGGGTGGAGGTTGAGGTTATGGTTTGGTAAGGCTGAAGGCGCCTGCAGGCATGCACGTGCAAGTGCGAAGCGTTGCTCAGTGTTCCCGCAGTTCTGCCGTGTGTCACATACAGAGGACCTCAAAGTGTGGGGTAGCTCCAACCTTATCCACCCGCCCAACCCAATTCAACCAGAACAGGCTCAGACAAGAACTTTAGAGCATCTCTTGTACAAACCCATTGGCAAAGACGACAGCGATCGACCATCTCAGGTCAAATACCATCATTCTTTCAAGCTTACCTGCGCCTCAAGCCACTCCAGAGTTCCTCAGCCATGCTGTGTTCCACAATCACGCGAACCGCAGATCGCATGGCCCGTCAGGTTGGACTGCGAGTAGGATCCATCTCCGTCATGGGAAGAATCTCCATTGCGCGTCAATTTTGCATCGCAGGTGCTCCAGCAAGAAAGAGTTTCCAAGGGTTGCCAAATTCAATCAAGGCCTTCTCAACTACTGCCCCATTGTCCAAAGGTCTGTCGCCAGAAAGTGAATATCCCCAACCCAAAGAAGCTGAACCCCAGACCATAGCCTCAGCACCAGTGGACTTGACTGTCGAGAAATATAACCAATTGAGCAACGAATACTTGGATGACCTTGTTGAGAGACTAGAAATGATGGCAGAGGAGAGAGAGGGAATTGATGTGGAGTATAGCGTAGGCAGAATCTGGCTTATCAAAGAAGGATGTATGCTAACGGGCACTTATGTGGTATAGGCAGGGGTTCTCACAATTAATATGCCAGGAAATAGGACATATGTTATCAACAAGCAACCTCCAAACAAACAAATCTGGTTTTCGTCTCCCATTTCTGGCCCAAAGCGATACGATTACGTCGTGACAGGCGAAGGTCAGGATTCCAAAGAAGACACTGGTTCAGGCCAATGGATATACTTACGTGATGGATCCTCCTTGAATGATCTTTTAGAGACAGAGGTGGGTGTGGATATGCGTGAAGACGACTTCCATTGATGATCCGGCCGTGGCTGTTTTGATAGGTGACCTGGATCTTTCTCTCCTCACTTTTCTGTTTGTGGTATTTCATGTAAGATGATGCTGGTGTTTGGGAAGGGAATGGGGTATGGAGTTCCAGTTCTGAATGCAATGGCAATACGACACACAATAATGCTGTCACAATCTTCGAGTGATATTTAAATGATGGGGTACGATAATATGATTGTTATTGGTTTGATACAAACAATATTGAAATTGCAGTTCTCATGCTCCACGTGTGATTGCCTTCATGATCATCTCAATGGCTCAAGCTCAGTCCTCTCCAAAGATTTCAGGGCAGAAGGATTTCGGCCGTGATGACGGTCAAGTACGAGATATTTGACGTAAAATCTCGCTTTAATAGCTGCGAACCGCTGTGCCTCATGCGGGTAACATAAGTTGTTCAGCCTCAGCGTCCTATGTAGCTTGTGCTCCAACCCACTTATGCTTGATTTAACAGTTTTTGGGAGTCCACCTAAGGGAAGGATGAAATGACGGGAACCATGTGGATTCCACGAGCTGGTGCAGGGTTTTCGTATGAAAGGGTCCTGGACTAGTACCAAGGAACTGTACCCACATGCTTCTCCTGCAGCTCCTTCCGCGAGTAGCTTTGTCCTTATCATCCACTTCTATTGAGGCCAACAGAGGCTGGCGGCTCAACTCCCGACGCCCATTCATATCCCCTATCTCGTAAAGAGAGGCCGGGGTGTCACTAAAGATTTAAGGCATAGCGCCTAAGACTTTCCAACGTGGTATGTGTGATATCCCTCTATCTCTTATGCTTCCTGATCATGCTCTGACTTGAGCGGCTGCGGGGGCAGGCGTTGCCTCTGCAGTCTTCTGTTCCTCTGGTTTTGGTAGCTCATCCTAAACAACGCAAGTCAGTCGCCAGAAATACACCGTTGGATGTCCTGACATACCACTTCGTAGATAACCCGAATCATCAGGCTGCAGCTAGGGCATACTGCAATATCTTCCTCGTCGCGAAGGTCATCGAGAGCAATCTCAAAGCGGTCGCCACATGGGCACGGGTAGTGGTAAATTCCTATGACCGGGTCGAAGGTCATATCCTCTATCTCGATTTCATCGTAGATATTTTCTGCCATGGTGTCGAATTCGTCTCTGGCGACTGCAAATCTAACTTTTGTGCTGGGGGTAGTATAGAAAAATGTTGTGAGTCTGCCTTCGTGGCGGGGCATGGTGGGGATAATCTTTACGTTAAATTTTAGCGGGGCACCTAGCCTCCCCCTCCGGCCACACATCGGTTTAGATAAATGTCACGTGATGACTCCCCAACTTTGATCCCCTTTCCTTTCGCCAAGCTCCCCGGCCACCTCACAGGCTACCTACACCATATTCTGTATTTCCTGCTCATCGCAATCTTACTAACAAGTCATTGACCAACCTATCAGCACGTGAATATGGATTTCGGGTATACATAAGTATACCTAGGCATGGTTCCATATTCCGCACGGTATAGGTACGATACCTTCGCCGCCAGCATTTCAAAATTAATGGAACGTTCCACTTTCCTCCCGGAGCAATCGACATCGCGCAATGCAAGAATGCATATGGTGGTTACGCATTGGTCCAGGGAGTGAGATTCTGTCGCTTTCGGCAGTCATTCCAAGTCCTTGGAGGGGCGGCTGTCATCTTGCTGACTCTGATCGTGTTTTGTCCAATGTGGTACCTCGACGGAAGGAGGCCTTGCTAGGCATGGAGGAGACACTATCTCCGCCTCATTGGAAACCCCTCATTGGAGATCCGAAAGTCTTTAAGCTCACCACAAGGAGCCCACTAAGTGCTGACACCTATATGAGTCCAGCCCTATCTGGGTACTGATGCGTGCCTCAATACCTTATGCTGTCATCTAGACATCCGCCACCCAATCGGGATGTAAGACGAATCTACTTTCATATCATGTCGTCTACGCAAGGGTTGGTAGGAGCTAGCAACACCTATGCCCCGAACCTATCGAATTTAGGGGGGCACGGGGGGCAGATTGATACTTCGAATTAGTCCGAGCTCGATCTGCCCTCGTGAAGTTCGCCTTCGCCTCCTTGGCTCCTCCTTTTATTCTAGTACCCTTCCTCTTATTCATACGTCTTTATTTCACTCTTCCAATCAACACTGATGACGGGGGGTCTGAATATGTTATCTGAGGCTCGAGGCTCATGGATCTTTTGTTGGTCTCGTTGCGGTCAAGCAACTGGGGGTATCATGATAAAATCCGTTTCCCAGTGCCCCAACCCGTATCCTTCAGACGAGCGGTCAGTTTCCTACAAGTTCTTTCTTCTCAATAGAGGTACAGTCCCAAACTATCCGGCAGTGAGTACTCTGGGATTTTTTAGGGTTCCAAAGATCGACGCAGAATAGCGGGAATGGCAAGGGGATAAATAACGCCTCTTGCTTGATTGATGTCGATGACTGGGTGTCGAGAGCAACCCGCCCACCCTGCATGCCCACCTGTTATTCCTGCACAGAATTACCTTCCTGGGGCCCTTGCCGCCGTTGTGAAAGTGGCTTGACAGGCCCATATTCTTGGCCAAGAGATAGATATACATGTTCACCTCAGCCAGCTCACCTTTTATATATCGATTCAATATATCCAGATTTCCGCTCTCTTTGTTTTGACTCAAACATCAAGATCAAGAATTCTGAATGAGACATCCTAATCAAAATCTCAATTTTTCCTTTCCTGCAATGTCTGATACCACCGTCAAAGTTCCCAAAAGGCGGGCGTCAACTCCTCGAAGCAAGAAAGGATGTATTACTTGCAAGTACGTATGCCTGTTAGCTAGGTTACCTGATGTACTAACTACTCGCGCTAATACACCTCCCCGCTTAGAATCCGGAGACTCAAATGCGGAGAGGAGAGGCCTGGTAAGCCCTGCAACTTTTATTTATATCCCCAAACACTTCAAAATAAAACTCACACGGCAAATATAGGCTGTGTTCGATGTGCAAAGTCTGGATGGACCTGTGACGGATACCAGGACACAGAAATTTCTTCCATCCCAGTCCCAAGCAGTAGCAGCAGCAACAATGCTACACTCACTCCGTTGCTCCCTCGGTCTTCCTCCAATAGATCTGTAAAATCAACCAGCTCCGCCCGGTCTATTGAGCCTCGATCTAGATCTCCAAGCTTGGTAAGACTGGCAAGAAGTCCGAGTTACCAGCCTCAAGCATCAGTTCAACTCGAGCATCAAGAATTGCAATACTTCCAAGCCTTTGTCGACGAAAATTCCATTAGTCTCTTGCTCGAAAGCTGCTACTTTTGGAAAAGCGCGGCTGTTGCAGAGAGCAAATCGAACCCCTGTATCCGGCATGCTCTCGTAGCTTTGGGAGCTCTAATTACGAGTGCACAAAAGTCCCCAGATGACACTTATTTCATTAGCAACGATTCTGCTGAAGATGGCCCGAGACAATTCGCTCTACTACAGCACGAGAAAGCGATCCGCTGTCTTCGGGAGGCAATTTCCAACCAGAACCAAAACGACACCTTCAGCATCATTCTTTCGTGTCTTGTACTCGTTAGGTTGGAATCCTTTATCGGAAACGGTGGGTTTGTAATGCAGCATCTCCGGTATGCTCGTAAGCTTGTCTTTAAAGAAAACCGAGAAGGACAATACCCAACAAACCTTTCACTCTTGGGTGGCCGTGAGGAGGGTCTCAATGAAGTTGTCATGCGAATGTTTTTTCATTCTGATTTGCAAGCCCTAGCAATCATGGGTCCTGCAGATGAGGATAGATCGATGGTAATCATGGACTCGCAGACCTCAGACTTTTCAGTTCCGTTAATATTCAGAGACTTGCGAGAGGCAAAGCGATATTATACCTTTTTCTGTGAAGAGGGTTACATGTTTTGGTATCGCAACTCCCTCACGCTGCCTGGTACTTCCTGGGAAGCAATTCCGCAGTTTACAATAGCTTTACGCGACCATCTCATTCGTCAACTACACTTATTTCTCTCTGCCCTAAGTCTTTTCGTAGGGAGGGAACCAGATAATCAAAGCTGCCATCCATTGCGAAAGCCATCTTCATTAAAGCTCGGCGTTGCGACCTTGGTAGTTCTGCTAACACTGACTCTGAACTCGATGGAGACAGCTGTAGATGTGTTACAACCACACTTTCAGTATATGGTCAATACCTGCCGAGAGGTTCTGGATTACGAAGCAAGATTCCATCAAAACTCTGGTATACTCTCTAAGCCTAAAGGTTATTGTTCATACTGATGGTTGTATCTTTAGTTAAACAGATATTCTCGTTTGAGTGTCGCGTGGTCGGCCCCTTGTTTGTGGCTGCAACCAAGTGCCGCGATGGCAACCTTCGTCGACAAGCCATCTCCCTTCTTCTATCCTCCCACCGAAGAGAAATGATGATGGATTCGCTTGTCATGGGTAGTCTCGCAAATTGGATTATGACGATTGAAGAAGAAGGCATGGATGTGATTGGATTTATTCCTGATGAGAGTCGCGCCTGGGGTCAATCTATGTCGATAGATTTACGAAGAAAGGTCGTGATTGCCAAATGCGGCGTTGGGAGAAAGGCGCCCGGTCAGTGGATTGAGAGAATCACTGAACTGCCTGTTGGTCAGTATTTGGATTAGAGATTGGATCAAGGAGGATCTCGTGTTCCAGTATCATTTGTGGATTGGATAGGAGATACCCGGAATAACATTGATGACTATCAATCGAAGTAAGTTGATTTATACTTTTGGAGGGTGCTGGGGCATGCATTGAGCTTGTCTTTTTTTGGTTGCAATGTTGGTTTTGTAACTTGTGTTGGTTCTTCCAATCTGCATGAGCCGGCTTCCCGTTTATACCGAGCAAGCTAGCTCTCCCCCCACCCCCTCTTTTTACATGGAAAACAGAAGCGTCCTTTTTTCCACGACTTTCTAATTGTGCAAAGATTGGCAAATATCATTCTGCTCTACATCTCATTTATCTTTACGCAATTCATTCCGACTATACATCATTTTTGGGAGAGACGTTGATTCGTGGCTGGCAGGTGTTTACTATCGGACTCTTTCTCGTGGGTACAATACATTACCAGTGTATTGTACCCCTTTGAAGACTAAGATTCTTCGCTTCTATGGAAATGTGCGCCCTATCCATGATTGCTATATCGGTCTCTTATCTAACTTAATTATTCCAGCGTGCAGGACTTTTACGCTGAAGAAGTTGTTACGTGGCGATATAAGAAAGCATTGGCGAGCGGCGCCAAGGGTTTATGGTCTGAACCAATATTCAACATTGTGTGAGGGTGAGATGAGGAAGACAGGGGCAATCAAAACCGAAGTTTCTATATCGTTTGAATTCAAGGGAGGGTTTAACCCTCATTGTTCTAAGTTTTTAACGAAATATCAGGGGTTCTCACGAAAGATATTGGAAGAACTCAAAAGCGTCGGCTTTGGGAGCAACTATAAGTTGTTGTCTACTGCTGCTGTTTTCACCCATGGAAAGCGATGTACTCACACTCACAGGTACACAGAACAACTTTCTGGTACCTTCAATCAGGACTGTCTTCTCATGCAGAATTCTGTCATCATGCACGGTTATGAGCCCCCTGGTCTTCTACTCGGTGTTGGATTTTCTCTCTCGGCAAACATAAGGCTGCTGACAGGTGGGGTTCAAGCAGTGAGACGCACAACTACTAACTGGTTTTCATCACCGCCATCAATATTCCTACCCACAACAGATGGCTTCATAATTCTCGAGAGTTTGAAGGTACCACCTAGTGCAGAAAGTAGATGAGCAGAGATGGAGGATAAAAACCGAATAGGGATGAAACGCCGGATTAGTATGTTCCTGAGTGACAAAAGAGGAGACACTGAGGGAATGATCACACGGTCATGAGAGGCGCAGTGTTTACAGAAAATTGCGAATGACGACACGATAGGCTGTCTGAAACTTTTGAATCTTTCCAAGCCTCGACAACACCACCATTGCAGATGTAACATCGGAACTTACTCGTTCGGGTCCGATATGGGGGTATTCGTCATGACTATACCTCATGTTTTCTGCAGCAAACAGACAGGTATTACAACACGTGCGCCAAGGCTCCTCGCTTACCGTCGCCTCGCACCCCTTATCGCCGGTGGTCTCACGACGCACCTGCTCTTATTTTGGGGTCTGCAGAACTCTTTTTTTACGACTCCCAATGCACCTCACCCCCCAAATTAGCCAGCGCTGAGCGCTTAGTCTGGTTGATAATAGGACATCCTCTGTCATCCTTCTGTTTCTTGGGAGATATTTTTGCAAAAAATGCCTTATGGATGGATTTCTTGATGCGTATCTAGAATCCTCCGCGGTAAAACGTACTCAGCATACCAAACTTTTGCAGTGCCACTTGTGTGACACTCGACCTGGCGCAGACGCGGCTGCCTTTTCTTTGGCAAAGCCCCCTCCTGATGATTTTCTGAAGGTTTGCTTCCCACGATGGTCGCAATGACGGTATTTTCGTAGCCTTCTGTCTTCCCTTTGAAATTTGTTCAATTCTCTTGTAATTTATATTGAACATATCTTTTTTCGCCTCTATACCTTTCAGCAATCCAATGCTTTCGAGTTTCAAAAGTCAAGTCCGAGAACCACAGCAAAATTACATAACACAAAAACCGACAAGAAATGATTTGGAGGCAGGAAGGCAAAATACATCAAAGGGGTTGCCTCCCCGTTCTGGGGGACGGCTAAAGAGAGGGGCCAATAATATAGAATACAATTTCGCCCATCTAGAAACGAAATCGAATGCTGAATTATCAGAAAGACTTTTCTGGTATCAAGACTTCGGTTCGAGGCCCAGTACCGGATTTCGGCTTTCGAAAAACGACACTTTCGCAACTTGTTTAGTGAGACTTAGATCAGCTCTGAAACAGAATACCAAATTATCGCCGTCTTCGTACTTACAGCTTTGGTCGGTTTCCAAGATGTCTCAATGTGGGTTTTGCTAACATCGTATCTAGCATTATTAACACATCGCCGCTCCCGGAACAAGTACTGTCGCCTCCAGTACGTCTCTTTTCATCTATGGTAGGGCGTCTTGATGGCATTCTGAAATTCCCAGCAGTAGCCATTGGCATTGAATTGGAGCATGCATGGGGAGGTCTGTCTGAATGTGCATTTAGGAGCATTGAGTGTCCCGAAGAGCTACTGAAAGTGGAACATATCTCATTACCCGAGTTTCGGCACCAATTCCTCTCACACACTTTTGTCGATTGTAAATGCAAAACCTTCAATATTCCTAGGATCACAAAATTTGTTACAGCTGAATCTTCTCACCCAGATACTGCAGTTACAACAGTGGAGAAATCGAGTTCTAAGAAACCACGGGCGGCCCGACTCGCAATCGAATTGCCTTCTCATGGACGACAGGAGACTTCAGCGGCTTCAAAAGCACAGCTTGCTCAATGTTGTCGTATTTTCGATAGATCAACGGCTTCGTTCAGTTTCACTTGGCAGCGTTCTACTCCAAAGTATGAAAGCGGATTCTCGACTTTTTCTCGAGAAGAATATGCAACCCCACCTAGCTGCTCATATGCGGAAATCTTTTATCAAGACGATAGATCTATTCCCGGACCTCGAAGAGTTATGATGGCGATCAACAATAAGCTGTACAATAACGCCCCCCTTTCTACTGAAGAGCCAGTACTATTAGATGAAATAAAACATTTCTTACGAACACGGAAAGCTGACGACCCCGAAGTCTGGCCCTTTATGCTCCTTCTTCAATCGGCACCTCGAAGTATGGGATACTCTCTTTTACCGATTTTCACAATATTGGAAATTATTGTCCGAGATACGGCATCATTCCTTAAGGAAGCAAGTGATGAAATCCATCACTTGTCTTTTCTCTCCCGCCATTCCCCGTCAGCGAATATCGTCAACTACCTCTCTCATCTTGATTCTTGTCGAGAATCGGCACTGATGGGACTTAGTCATGCGTACGGGATTGCTAGGGATTTAGCAGCAGTTGTAAAGCAGAAGGGAAAGACTCGGAATCAGGATAATACGGCAACCACTATCGAAGGGGAGTTTCTGAAAGAGAAGAGAGAGGATATGAAGTTTTTGATGGAGCAATTGGAAGAACATTTAAGAGACAAAATTCGGTCAGAGAGTGTATTAATGAAAGAACGTCGGATGCTGCTTCAATGCCGTCAGGTCTCGACGTTGACTTGGATCGTGATTGTGTGGGTGCCAGTCTCTTTATTGATTGTAAGTTCCCCCTAAAGTTTTAACTCACAAGAATCAGATAGTCTAACAAGACATAGGGAATATTCAGTATGAATGTGACATCACCGTCGCACATCTTTGGCCATAAAAACCCCAGCTCAACACCAATATTGGCCACTGCACAATCCATTCTCCCAACTTCATCCTTCTCATCTTTACCCGCAACAACAATAGTAGCCCGTCAAGTCACTAAAACAACCCTCACTTCTGTCGAAACCACCACATCTTTAGCCCCAGCACAAACACCAGATGTTACAATATCCACCAATACCACCAAAGCACTTCCAGAATCACTCAGCGGCCGTCCATCACAGCCCTACCACTTCTCATTCGCTCTATTCCTTTTCCTACTCCCCATTATTCCAATCCTCGCCACATTTCTCAACCTCACACTCCCCTCCATCCTTCGAATCACCTCTCAATCAACATCCTCCCTACGAACTTCGCCTGCATTCACACCCCTAATATTCCTCCTCTACTACCTACTGACCTACTGGCTCATCCCATCCACCCTATCTCTCAAAGCCACCCAAAACTCCAACCTCAAAATCTCCTCCCTCCCCCACGCGGGACACAACCCCATCTCTACCCCCTCATTCATCCTCTCCCTCTCCACCACCTCCCTCATCTTCCTCACCAACCTCACGATATCGCTCGTCTACCATAAGAACGCACTCAAGATTTTTATTTGGCTATTCTTCGGGGGCCTTCTCCTGGTGAGTTATTGCGTGGATTACTTCTCGGACTGGGAGAAGGGGGTTAGTCCTAGTATAGCGACGGGGCTGGGCTTGAGTGGTGTTGTTCCTGTGTTGTTCTTGGTGGGCGTTTGGGGTGTCCCGAGGATTTGTGGGGTTTTGGGTGGGT